ATCTCTTCCTTCCTTCCTTCCTTCCTTCCTCTCTCTCTCTCTCTCCATGCGCGTTTCGTTAATCAACGAATCGTGGAAAATTAAGATCGTCCCTGTTGGATTGCAGTGGGTGGAAGAGTCGTTCACCAACTTCGACAAGGGCATCAATTGGCGGAGTTACGTTGTCTGCGACGTGGCGTACAACAACGTGAACAATTGGCTGTGGACCCCGTTCATCGAGAGGGGACCGGCGAACCGCATGTACATAGAGATCAAATTCACCACCCGCGACTGCTCCCTGTTCCCAGGAAACGCGCTCAGTTGCAAAGAGACGTTCAGCCTGCTTTACTACGAGTTCGACGTGGCCACCAAGGAGCCGCCCCCGTGGGAAACGGACAGTTACAAGTTGATCGGTAAGCTCGGCCAAATCCCCCACTTATTTACTTGCTTATCCATCGCCTGTTCAACTGTCGAAATAATCCACTCGTGTCGTATCCGCAGGGCGCATAGCCGCAGGCGAGGGAAGGTTCAACACGAACACCGAGGTGGTGATAAACACGGAGGTGAAATCGATCCCCGTGACGAAGAAGGGCGTCTACTTTGCGTTCAGGGACCAGGGCGCTTGCATCTCGATCCTTGCCATCAAAGTTTACTACATCAGCTGCCCGGAGATCTCGGTCAACTTCGCGCACTTCCCCGCAACGCCGACCGGCCGCGAGGTGGCGCTGATCGAGCAAACGATCGGCACCTGCGTGGCGAACGCCGTTGTGATCGAGCAGCCCACCTTCCTCTGCAAGGGGGACGGCAAGTGGTACCTGCCCAGCGGCGGATGCCACTGCAAGCCGGGATATCAGGCCGACGTTGAGAAGCAAGAGTGCACCGAGTGCCCGATCGGTAAATTCAAACACGAGGCGGGATCGCACAGTTGCGAGGCTTGCCCGGCGCACAGCAAATCGTCCGATTACGGGTTCACGGAGTGTCGTTGCGATCCAGGCTACTTCAGGGCCGAGAAGGATCCCAAGAAAATGCCCTGCACGCGTGAGTTGTTATCGTTTACTTTCTTTCTTTCTTTCTTATTTACCGATCCGTTTCGATCGTTTAATCGTTTCTTTCTTGGTTTTCCATAGAACCACCGTCGGCCCCGCAAAATTTGACCGTGAACTTCGTCGACCAGTCCACCGTGTTTCTCTCTTGGAACGCGCCGCACATGCTCGGCGGCAGGACGGATACGACTTACAGGGTGGTCTGCGACGCTTGTAGCATGGGTGTCAAATACATTCCCAACACCGTACGTTCTTTTTTGCCTTCCTTTCTCTCGTTCTTTCTCGCGCGTGTGTGTGTGTGTGTGTGTGTGTGTGTGTGGTGTGG